CACACACACACACACACACACACACACACACACACACACACACACACGTGTGCCCATGCATGAACACACAAACAGCCAACACAGCTGTCCTCATGGTATGGTCTGCCCCTGAGCATGCAAATGACATTCATTATGCAAATGCATACAAATCAGAAGCAACCATCTGAGAATCCAAGCTGGGGAAAAAACTGAAAGAATGAAATTAAATGAATGGGGTGGGGGGGCATTGGAGAGAGGTGGTGGAGAAACTACAGTGTCATTTTGAGGCATGTGTCCAACATAAACTAGATCATAACCTGCTTCATTAAGGCATAGGCGCCCTTTGTTTGACCAAGTAAACTGGATCAATCTTAATGCTTTAATTTCAGACACACTGTATAAAAATTGTATAGACACTGATCAGGTAGAGATCTTAACTGTCATAAGACTTCAAAATGAAAAGCTATAGGCTCAATATAAGATAAATGATGCACAAAATGTGCCTAACGGGTAATTCTATAGGGTCGTGAGATTAGATACAACAGTTCATCTTGTTTTAAATTGAATCTTGATGGAGGCTATGAGCTCTTAGAGGAAATTTAGTTGTTTTTTAAGGATTTTGAGCTCCTGGGTGTTTTACTTAAAAGAGAGAGGGGGTGAGAAGACCAACATGCATGCTAAGAGGCTGCGTCGTGGCATGTGGCATGGTTTGTTGCTTTAGCAGCAGTGGCACCAAATCAAACTGGCAAAATAGTTTCAACTGGAATGGAGATGCTCCAAATGACGGTAAATTGCTGCTAATTGCCTCTTGGGGTGGTCTCTGTATTGTCTCCACCTCTGCCTCTGCAGGACGTGCTCTCTGAAACCCCAGAAGAGCTGCAGTCTCATTATCAGCCTTTCTGAAGGGTAGCATAAGTGAAACCAAATGCTCATGAGTGTAGATTTATATTCATGCTTAAAAATGCCCATATGCATGTATAAGATGGGTATAATGTGAGAGAGCCTGGAAGATGTGTGAATCTGCCCCAGAGTCGAGCAATTAAGCAGGTGTCTGAATGTTAAGAGCTCTGATGTATGTGTTGACTAAAAGTTCTGTAGGGGCGGGGGGCCTGGCTTACACACAAGAGAGAAACCTATAGATCCTAGCCCTTTATCTGGCTTTGGTGGTGTTGATATGCGGAGGGCCCGAAAATTTCCAGCATTGATTCATAAGTGGCAAACTACATTAAATGTCTTCCACTCTGTAAATTGCGGCACAGTGATACCTTGATTTTGCCACTATATTTTCAGGCAAGCCTTGCTAATCTAAGTCAAGCACACACACATCATCATCATCTCATCAAATCTACTGCTCTTTACATACATTATCTGAAACATAAAAATGAGAAAAACCTAATCTGAACATAAACCCTGAATTTGACTCATAGTTTTGTTAGTGTCTGAGCATGTATGTTTGTGTAGCTTTTGCCACAGGATGAAAGCCAGAAATGTTTGATCTTTAACTCCACATCATCACTTTCTGCATAAACTCAAAAGTGTTTAAAATAAGTGTAAAAACTGGTTTGTTAGAGCCATAAAACATCATATTTTAGTAAAAGCAATACTATGTAGGATTTCAGGAGGATATCAGAAGATTTCAGTCAAATTAATTTTATGGAGGTAAACTTGTAAGCTTGCATTTTACAAGAGGGTACAAATTAATCAGTCATCAGCTTAACTTTGCTTATTTGAAAAGGGGAAAAATTAAATCATCTTTGCCAATAAGCTAATGATCCTTACTTGAATTTAGCCAGAATGGAGAAATTCTCCCATGCACACCCACAAAAATAAGGATTGCAGCACAGGGTCTCCATTACTGAAGCAGGACTATATTGACAACAAACATGCTTTATAAGTTCCCTCTTTACTCCCAAATAATGTGTTAATTATTTTTTTATCTCATTGCATGCATACACACATGTCCCCTGACACACCACACTCCCTCCCCTCTTGGAAAAAGGAGCACTTATGTAACACAGCATCATACCTTCATGTTATTGGTTAGCAGCATCCATCGTCCACCTCCAGTCCATGTGTCCTTTCTTTCTTTTTTTTCTTTTCACTCTGTTGTTTTCTATTTCCCACGCAGGCGTGTAATGGGATTCTTGTTACTTTCGGTTATCTAGCTTTATGAAGAATGTACGTCACTCATACAGCTAGATAACCAAAGATAACAGACAACCCCTCAGGCCTGCAAATGCAGCCCTCTGGCATGAAAACACAACCTCTTTACACCTGCAAGGGCAAACAAATGCATCATGAGCTAATTCACCAGAGCAAAACTAATTCACCCTGCCCATGGTTTAGCGCACATTCCAGAACTGGAAATTAAGATGACAATATTCATACTGTTTATGGGAATTGTTAACACAGATGACTGATTGCATGGTGATAAAATGGTATGAGAAACAGGCATGACTAAAGATTCACAGGAGGATGCTGCCATTATATTCAGCTGGTAAATTTGTTTTTTCTGTTTCTATTTTATAGAAGTGAAATATGAATTAATCTTTAAGAATTTAAAAGGAAAACATCGTTGTTAACCGTTTTACAAACTAAAGGCATCAGAAACAGATCAAATGTATATTTATTGTGTCAAAATCTAATGCAGCAACACTGAGGAGAACTTGCACAGATGTCTCTGTCAAAAAACAAAAATTAGCAGAGAAATATAATCCAGAAAATTGATAGAAGTTGAATATATCAAATACTGACACAATATATACATGCTTAAATCTACATTCTAATTATGGAAATTTTAGGTGATTTCTGAAGAGTTTTTGAAATTATTATTATTCAGACAATGTCCAAAATCAGCCAGAGATCTTCAGTCCTGTGCAGGAACTTAAAAGAGGATTTAATTTTCTATTTTGTTTAAAGATATGTTTAAGTTCACAAAGAGCTAAAATACATGTACATTTTTTAAAGAAAATATTACAAAAATGTGCACTCATATTTAGTCCATTTTAGGGACAGCTGTAGGTGCATTTTTATTATTTGGAGGGATGAGGGTGTCAGATATGTGGTGTTTTTTTTTGTTTTGTTTTTTGTTTTTTGCAGTTAAAGAGTTTTGGTTATCAAAATTCGTGCAGAATTGAAAACCCTTGATGATTTACGGGAAAAGATGTTATATCAGTGCTAAAAATACAATATGTGAAGTGTCTGTTCGAAAATAAGACTTTTTCTCTTTCATTCATGATTGTTTCCCCCTTAATTGGCTTTTAGCAATAAAAGGCAGTGACGTCACTCCCATCGCCTAATTAATAAGCACACACACACTCAAACATGTCATTAAGGAGAGGATGTTTTTCATGCGGCATCGTGAAAACGGAATACTGCTCTTATCCTCACATCAGACTCGGTAAAAACACACAACCCTGAACAAACAGAAACCTTTCGAGACAAAAGAAAAACTAAATCAAAGACAAAGATACACCGCACATTGGAAAGCATGCTTCAGATTTAGCTCTGCAGCTGCTTCCTGAAAGCTCCACCGTAATGAGGCTTTGGATTTTCGCCAGAAACACAAACGAGTGGAGGTGCTACTTTACGTCTGGAGGCCGTGACACGACGTAAGGATTTCCGTGAACGCCCATATAAATAGCATCCCTCATTTCTAAAATTATTTAAAAAAACATTGTTTATTTTCTCCTCCTTTTGTGTATTTGTCGAACTGGATGGTGGTGTGGAGACACGAGACATGTAATGAGTCGAATCAAATTCCACGATGTGATAAGTGTATCAAGACGGAGAACAGTATTTTTTCCAAGTTGAAATTCCAGTTTTCTGCAGTGGATACCAGAATCATTAATAATATTTGACCAAATTATTGTATTTGTCCTCTAACTTATAGATACGTTTCTATTATTCAAAATGTTTTCTCTTTTTCAATTAACCGTTTATTTGTGTTGCTCAGACTCTCAGGTGCTGATTATTTATTTCCACTCAGGACTCGTGCAATAATGAGCACTTCTTTCTTGACTCAACTTTAAATACAAATCTTTGTCTCTGCTCCTTTAACCTTTGCATCTGACTATCTGATTATTTCAAACAATTCAGACACCAGTGAAACGGATTAAAAATAAGAAATAAAAGGCTGACCCTCGAGTCCCCGCAGGGAAATTACTCTGAAGTTTCTGTTCAAAGTAACGTGGCAGTAATACAGCTGATTTTGCCTCCTCTAATAGATTTTTGGGATCATAAAAAAGCGACTGTAAATGATGGCAACAAAATTTAAGCGTCGTCAAACGACCCCGAAAGGATTTAACAATGATTTCCAGAAATAATCACGTAGTCCCAGACGTGCAGCTGTGCATGGTTCAGGTGGAAGAGAGATAGAGATCCTCAGCCTGATCTCGTCCTTTTTTCCTGGAAAGCAACATGTTGAGTCGTTGTGTGGATATTCACCTGGAATTTGGAGGAAGCCTTCAGCGTCGTTTCTGGTGCATCTACGAAAACAAAAATGATGGCAAATTAGATCAGACGGCTTAAATGACCATTACGGATCATCTACAATAATCAACAGTCACCCACGTGAGTTTAGGATGTGTCTGGAAATCGCTTTATGGGAAGAATCGGGAAAATGGTTTGCTCAAAGCTCCAAACTCGACTAGTTTGTGCTGCTCAGGGGAGTCCTGCACCTGAACACTGACTCTGCAGCAGCGAGCCTCCGAACGCAGCTGCATTCAGCCATCTCAAAATGTGGACTGGCGGTGCATCCCAACGCAGGCTCAGCTGCCATCAGGCCTACCTGACTTTTCAATAGTGACCCATTTCTATCTTTGAACTATTATTTGAGATCGATTTCATTAGAGAGGTCAATATATTTTCGTTTTCCCTCCAGGTTTCACTCCAGCCTGAGAGCAGGTTTACTACAGTCCTCGTTCAGGTCTTCTTTTTGGGATAGGTGTTGCGTGACGTCACCCATCATAGACAAGTGACAAGACAGCAACACACGATACCGGTGATGGTGTGAACCACCGAAGGATCGCAGACAAGGCCCTAAGCGGGTCAGTAGGGTGGAACCTCTCTGGCGTCCTCCAAGAGCCTCGGTTTATAGGTATTCCCCACTTTCTCTCCAAAACTCTTATTTCAAGAAAATATTACGTATTGTGACAAAAACAGGTTAAAAGTAGGAGGGCAAAAATGTGCATAAGAGAGGAGCTGATCACCTCTTAGAGAGATTAAGCTGGCCTTATGTAAGAGCTCCAGCGCACAGTGCTGCCCCGGCCTCCTGCTGTAATCCAGCCCGCAGGAAGTCATGTTGGAGCCGTGCCCACTGCTACGTTCACAAACAATAATCACCTTTTGCCCCGTTTTGATGCCTGCCCATCTGGTTTACTTGTTTTATTACGGTAACTATTAAGAAGAAACGGGTCAAACAGTGAAGGGCTGCACCGGCCCTGGGCAGGCCAACACAAACACAGGCCGGTGGGCACCTCTGATCAAAATGTCCCAAAATCCATAACGAGCGAGGAGGAAGTGTGCATTTGTCTTTTTGACTGGAGACAATGGCACACCATAAACTTATGTAATACTTTGGACTATAACAACAAAGCATATGTTTGATCCAGGGTCAGCATCACTGGAAAGATTAAGGTTCAAACGTGGATTGAGCACTCATTATTAGGCCATTGACCGCAAATGTGGGATCTAAACTAACTCTGTCATTCTCTTCAGAGTGGTATTTTGGGGGATGCTTGTAAAAGATGGGCTAAATAACATGAAGGGTGGAAGTGAAGGAGGAATTTAGGAGGTTCCTATTCTGTGGCGCACAACATTGCTGTTAACGTCTCCACTAAAGCTGGGTGAAAACTATTCTTTGTTTAGGGGCCAAGTGCTGAAATGTTAATCCTCTCCAGGCAAAAGTGTTTACAGCCACAAGTGAAACTGCACATCTCTGCCGTTGCCTCACGAGCTTTGAGCCTTTATGTCTTTGCGCACCATGCCTGCATCTTAAACTCGCCTGTAAAGAAACAAGCTTCACTTTATGAATATGCAGAGCAGATTAAGTCTGAGCTCTTGCTTGGCCTGTAAAACGAAACCTACTCCACAAACACATGATCCAGTGTTTTACACTAAGACCCGCCTGGGCTGGCAGACTGCGCCTCTCGGGGGCTGTCGCCTTTTCTTTAACCTCCTTCACAGCATAACAAATATCATCCAGAATGATAAACATGGGTCTTACTTTCTCCTCTTCGGGTGCACCAGGATGGGCTGCGCGGGGCACGGAGAGCTCCTGGTGAGCGGTGGTCCCTCCGGCCGTGCGGCATGCTGGGAGCCAAATGAGCGCGTTCACTAGCAGCGTATGGAGCTTTGTGGCGACGGCGCGTGACGTCCCGCCGGGACCGTCCATTTTTTTCGAATCAAACGGGTCCCGTTGTTTTTTTCTCCGGCATGTCGTCCCCCTGCTGTCCTCCACGTCCACAGCCCGGTCTCCCCTCAGCAAACAGGGGAGTTGGGGCTGTCCACCCCAAACGCTACATCTCCACCACCGTTGTCTCCAAATGGCTTAACCTCTCATTTGTTCAAAATCATATACGGCGTCCAAGACCCACCCCCTCGTGAATCAGTGAGGTAACACTGTTCCCACCCTTCGAGATGTTTTATATTATGCAAGATGAAAGATGCAATTAGAATACGGACCTATAGGAGCGCCTCTCACGCCCCCCAACAGACGCATGTAGAAGTGCACCATTACATCCATCAACCAGCATCCCTCTGTGTGCGCGTGTGTTCATATGTTTCCTATCAGCCCTCCTTGCTAAACGAAATACTACAAGCTGCTCCTATATAGCGAAGAACAGGTGTACGTCAGCTTGCTTCTGCCTATTTTTTAGTTGTTAGTGCTCCCATGTTTCTTATATTTTACATCATCGTCTTTCCTCAGAATACCTATGGCCCGCAGACATTGCTGTGTAATTTGAGGGCCTTAAAGCTAATACAGAGGCAGTGCAATAGGTTAACTGTAGTGAGAATAATTACACTTTAAAAATGGAAAGTTGTGTATTTGCATTGGTCCCTGCTGGTGCGTTTTCTGCGCCTGAGACTTTTAGATTGCGAGAGCTGCTTGGTTAATATCATTATGGTATTTTGAATGATCAGAATCCTCTTAAAGACTTTTGTTGGGTGTATCAGTGTGTCTGCACATCCTAGATGCACTCAGCATCTGCACTATCAGCGTTAACACGTGTTCTCCCCCTAGAAACTATTACTTTAATTCAGCAGTCAAAGTACCCTAATGGAAAACGTTTAATTTACTTGTTTATACCTATTTGACTAAATCGCTACCATCTGACTTCCTTCTTGGCTTCACCAAAGGCTGGTCGTGTTGCAGATGTGTGGTTGTGGTGCGCAGTCACGCCGTGAGAAGCTCCTGCAGTCCGGCGCTCTGCAGCACGGGTCCAGACCTATTTACGGAGCTTTGAGGATATAATTCAGGTTTATCACCAAGCCAAGTGCAGTCCACCAACAGGTTTAAGGAAGCGCCGCGCACTGTGGCGCGCACGCAACAATACCAGCGCGCGCCTGGTTGCCAGGAAACCCCCCAAAGCGCGGATGCTCTTTTAAATCCTGAAAAGTATCGGAGAGAAACGTGGCTAATTTATGATGCTTTGCGGTGCTAAAAGACAGCATTGTGCTGGTGTTGTTACAGTCTGATTAGATTCGAGCCCAAAACCGTGGGAATGGCCATTTTGAATATGTATAAAAGTCGAGTAATGTCAGTTTTCTACTGTCCAAAAATAACAGAGAGCCTTAGAATAACAAGAACGCGAGGAAGTGTGGACAGTAACTGTGACTTGGTATAGAAATAACATTTTCCAGGGTTAAAGCTTTGGAGAGTGGAGGGAATATGAATGCGTTTGTATCCAGAAAAGACGAGCCTGAGTTCGAATGTGAGATGTTAATATAAACCAGGAGAACTAACTATGAAATGTTGTTTCTTTTGGGTGCATAACAGCTTTTAACTCAACGTTAAAATCAGAAAAGTTTGGATTCTATCAGAGTGGCTTTAACTCTGCTCTAACTTTGTAAATATTAAAGTGGGCTTGGTAAAATGTGTGTGTCAACATTCAGCAGGAAATGTCATTTTTAATGGCAAAATAACTGATAGCAATTAGCTGACCTGCCATGGAAACGGCCTCTGTGGCCAGGCAGCAGAAGCCAAATTCAACAACTTTAGAAGCTCGGTTTCGGGAGGAGGGGCAGTGTTTTGGCTGGTTTTGGGTCAAACTGTGCCACAGAACTCCTGACAGCAATGGACCATTTTTACCGTCGCTCTATTGTATTTCTGAAGCCAAGTTCAGACCCCGTGTTGCGCCTCAATGAGCAGGGAAGAGGCGGATAAACCAGATTTTACGCACGCTGACTATCACGAAAGGTGAAAATTACAGCTTGTGTGCGCAACGCCCTGCCCTTTAGTACTGTAAATATGACTTGTAATAGTTTTTCTTGCCCACAACGATACAGAGTTTGTTCGTGGGCACGCATTCTTGGTTTCAGACTGCACCCTTTGACTCCCCCGTCGCGCCAATATTCAAATGGGCTCCTATTCATTTGAATAAGAGCTTAATGAGACATGGTGGCGTATAATAAATTAACACAGAAAATTGTGGGAACAAAGTCAGAGACATTGCAAGAATTTGAAATAGCTTAAATGTTTTAAATGGTTTGCTTTTGTATTTTGGAAGTACGTGTTATGTCATATTGTAAAAGTGAAAGAAAAGCTAAAAAAAAATACTATGAAGGAAAATGCAGTTCTGCAGTTCACTGTGAAGAATCTATAAATAATCTGATGGCACAAACCCTCTTTTGTGTGCGGTGTGAAGCAGTTTGGATGCTTGAATGAACTGAGATGGCACTCTTTGAAAAGGACCAGATCAGCTCTATCATCTTCTGGACTAAGAAGACTTCTTGAGTTGCTAAACATTTAAATCTAGCCTGCAACGTTTTCTGAAAACAATAGGACAGCATGTGATTTCAAAAGGATACAAAAATCATTGCTTGTCTTGACTATAATTATATCTTTTCCCAATTTACCAGCTCAATTCTTTCTCCATTCATTTAGAAAATTATTTATCTAAGCGTGAATTTGGAACACACCAAAGCTTAATTTGGCACATCGTAAATATTCGAGTGTGTGTGTGTGTGTGTGCGCGACAAAAGTTGATTGTTAAAAGAAGGAACATTGACAACCACGACTTAATCAATAGGACCAACATACAGCAAATAAGCAGTGAAATACTGAAATTGCAATCCACTCAAACTAATCCAAAATTCTCTGTTTTTAATTGACTTTTCTGGTCTGTGATTATTTTTATAACCATTTTTAAATCATTTTCAAGTTTTCCAGCACTCTTATCTCTGATAAACCAGTGTATTTAGGTAGTGTTGGCTGCTTGAACCTGCAGGCTGAAGTGAAGGCAGATAAATATAATTAACCGTATTATTACCATCCTGCACGGCTTCAGTCCCAGACATTAATAGTAAGTAATGATTGAATTTGTGAAAGTGGAGCAACAAATGTCTTAACCATTGGACCGTTTTAAAGTCTTTTTTTTTAATCTAATGATTCATAGCAGTAAAATAATCATTATGGTTTTTTACTGAGTCATTGCAAAGTTGATCGAATAAACAAACTGAGAGCACATTTTCTTTAATAGCAACACTGAACGCATGAGCTCCGTCTTAAATGATATTAAGCTGTTAACACGAGGAAGAATCAAACTCTCCATTTCATTTCACATTGAAAAAATGCAGCTATCCCTTTATTGTCGAAAGGCAAAAAACTGGAAATGAACACAGACAGGTATCTGGAAATCTAGGCTATTTTTGCGCACCTGAACAACATGATCACCTGTAGATGGAGATGATTTATTATGAATTCAGAACACCTGTTTTTATGGACTTAGTCAGATAGCACATGTCAAACTGCACCATTTGGAATAGTTCACAAACACATTTGTTTTGAAGGACTCTCGTCGCGATGTTTTTCTAGGATTACAGAGTTCAAATGTAATTTCGGGTGGTTATTATTTTGAAATTGATCTTCAATCGGTTAAATTACTTTAAAACAAAACCCGGTGAATAACTCTTTGCCAGTGAAGGGCAGAACTGTTTTTCCGCTTTTAAATCTGTGTAAGACCGTCCAATAAAGTTCAGACTTAATACTTTCGATTGTTTGGGATTTTGCAATAATAGTTTTCCTGTTTATTTGTGTTTTTGTTCTTATTAAGTAAAAGACACTCAGCCCATACTCTTATCTCCCACGTGGAATTTACTTATATTTTCTTTGACAAAATATCAGAACGACAAACATTGGAAAAGACCCAAAATCATCAACAGTCAGTGATCTTTAAGAAAAAACGTGTTCATTGTTAGCTGTCATTTTTCATTTTTAGATTTAAAAAATGGAGTTGCCCTATGTGCCCAAATGAATTTAATAAATACAGTGAAATTGAATTATTAGGCTACTTGAAGGCTGGCATTGCTCTGGTTGATTTTGATCATCACTCCTTTAGCGCCACCTCGAGTTTACAGACAAATTGCTGGCAAGCCTGTCATGTCTGAAGAAGCTTTTACTTTGTGAACATTTAGAAATGTTAACCAACACTTGGATCGTTGCTGGTGAACTTGTTTGCCTGCTGCACGATGGAAGCAGATACGGGAAACGACCCCAGATGAATCTTTTCCTTTCTATTGATGCCATCGTGTGGATGTTTTGTGTGTTGCACGCAGACTGGGGCTTATTGATTAGTGGTGATATGCTGCTCCACCAGGCCAACGATTGTATTGTTGTTGGATCTAATGGACTGAATGAAGCCTGGGCAAACATCACTGCATGTTGATATAATCCTAATTTATCTGAAGATATATCGTGTATCATATTTCAGGTCCTGGGATTAACAACAGTTTTTGGAATCTTTTGTTAAGCCCTATTTTCCATGCTGAAAGTTGGGTTGAAGGGCATGAGCAGATTCTGGATTGGTCCTGTGCAGTCACACCAGCACACATTTTTCATTCATGGTATTAATAATCCCTCACATAAAGAATCTGCATAATAGGTTTAGTATGAAGACCGAAATGCAAATGTCACATTGGAACATAATAATGTAGAAAAGAGGGATTTTGGATAATGATCCAAAGTATTAAATGCAATAGAAAATCCTAATGAGCATAACATGAATGTTTTATGAGAATATATTGCTGTTTGGATATATGCTTGGATA